TCAAGAAACAACAGAGTATAAGTAACCTTGCATATAGTTCTATCAATGTTTGTATATAGACCCGCATGCATGAAGCAACACATATTGGATTAAAAAATAACGAAGCAGCACAAAGATGTTGTGAGGCATTACACTTATCTGTAGGCGCCACGAGTGACAGGGTTGAAAGTGTTTTTTGATTCAACAAACAGAAGAAGTGGTTTTGCGTTATCAGGACCTGAACTGCATAATCTGGCCTCAATATTCAAATGCCACCAATAACAATACCCTTGAATAAAGTCACAGGAAAAACCAGGTCCAAAGAAATACAATTCCTTGCCTTCCAAAACCCTCAATAACTCCAAGTCAGTTCCCTTGAGATTCGAAATAATATTAAAGTATTTTAATAAATTGTAAACAAAAAGAAAGAAAGCAATTTATATTGATGGTGTAGGTTTGTTTAAATACCACGGCCCATGCATTTACGCCCAGAATCAATTTTATGTCGAATCTGATTATTTATTTATATATTTCAGACTGAATAGATCCATTTTGCTGACGTCTATGCATCTTTTTATTGTGTTGAGTATTGGTTATACGTGTTCTCATTTGTAGGTGGTACACCTCATTTCATTACTAACTTTCCTATCTAGCAAATGAGTTATTCAAAATGAAGTATGTTTATTAATGCAAGCTACGATAGGAAAATGTAGATCAACCACATGGCTGAGTTCTTTAGGCTAGTAGGAACTAAAGTTTCTTTCAGAAAAAATTGAAATAGAAATAATCAAAGGGGAGGCAATGCGAAATCAAAGTGGCACATAATAATTTGTACATGATGGTGTACATAAACTCACATGAGGTAGGGCCCATTTTAATAAAAAGAGTAATGCTATAAATACATAATATTTTACATAAAGGTGTACATAACACTCATATTGAGTAGGACCCACCAAAAATAAAAAATTAAGTAAACCCCACTCCATGTGAGTGTTATGTACATCTCTATGTACATTTATTATGTACATGTAGCATTTTCCATAAAATTTTCATATGGATCCTATTCATGTGAAAATTTGTACACATCCACGTACAAATTATTACTAGTACAGCACCCGTTTATTACACGGGTGCTTGTTAAAAAATTATTCTTAAATTTTAAAATTAATGAGAAACATTATTTTAAAGTTTATTTACTTTTTTACAAAAATATATATATATATATATTATTATATATTTTAGAATGACGTTTGTTACTTGTGCGACTTACATATGTTATATTATAGTAATTTTTATAACTTATATCATATAATTACTTGAAATATAAATATATTAATTGATAAATAGTTTTATTTTTCTAATTATTATTAAAAAATTATTTTATTATTGCTATAAAGATAAATACAATTTATTTTTTTATACATACAATACGGATGTTAAATCGAAGCTCATCAAGAGATGATTAATTTGATATATTATATATGTAAAACTGATAAAAAATAAAAAAGTTATTAACTTTTAAAATACATTTACGATTCAATAGTTATAATAAAAAATGCTATTAAAATGCAATTAATTCATGTAACATGACCATAAATACTCAACATATTAATGGATAATCCGAACCTAATTATTTTTGGATTGGAAGTAAATTAAAATCTACTCAGGCCTAATAACGAACCATGTAATTTTGTCACATAGGAACCCGAAGCATGCGAGTTTGCCACTTAGGCTCAGCACGTTTTGAATTATTATATAGGGATGTACAAGTAGAGTATTGTCGTTTCCATTTAGTTGTGATATATATATATATATATATATATATATATATATATATATATNTTATTTTTTAATTGAGAGTAGTAATGTAAACTCATGTTTGGTTCACGGGCAATCACATGACTTTCTCAAGTATTTGAAAAAATAGTAGATTTATGTATTTTACAGGTACGTAAATTTATTAATGTTTGTACAATAAAAAAATAAAAATAATTTATATTTTTATTTCTAATTTAGTGCTCAATTTTCGACTCCGTTCTAGTTCGCCGGACCTCGTAAATCTGGTATGCTACAGATTTAGAGACGTTTGTCGTTGTATCTTTGGGGAAGTTACGCCTGAACCGTTAGCAGCCACACGGGGCGTATTCTTCTTGCGGAAAGAGTTTTACTCGCCTCGGCTAAAATATTTCTGAATTTTTTTTTTCAGTTGTAATTTATTTTTTGGTTGTAATTTATTTTTCAGTTCGATTGTAATTTTCTATTTTTTTTTTTTTTTATTATTTGTAAGATACGATGTTTGGATGCAAGGTGATTACCTTTGCTGTAACTATGTCCTGAACGGACTTAGTGACGAGTTGTACAATGTGTACAGCTTGGTTGGTTCTGCCAAAGAGCTTTGGGCTGCTTTGGAGAAGAAGTACAAGACCGAGGATGCCGGGGCGAAGAAATTCGTCGTCGACAAATTTCTTAACTTCAAGATGGTTGACACAAAGACCGTTGTGTCACAAGTGAAAGAATTCCAACTCATCTTGCACGAAATGCTGAGGGAATGTCTCTGAGCGAGTCATTCCAAGTTGCGACTGTGATTGGGAAACTGCCACCGGGTTGGAAAGACTTCAAGAACTACCTCAAGCATAAGTGGAAGGAGATGAGTCTTGAAGACCTTGTTGTTCGTCTTCGTATTGAGGAGGACAACCGGAATTCATCTGGAAAATCTCAGATGATAGAGGCTCGTACAAATTTGCTGGAACAAGGCAACTCGAGCAAGAGGAAGTCCCTGGACAAAAGGGAAGCAGCCAGGTAAGGTTTGAAAATTTACAAGTACTTGCTACAACTGTAGAAAGCCAAACCATATGGCGAAAGACTGCAAGAGGCCAAAGAAGGTTGTGCCAAAGAAAGGTAAACCGGGTGCCTTTGTGGCTGAACATGGCCGTGTGCCGGGTGAACTAACCGACTTTGATTTGTCGGTTGTGGTGTTTGAAGCCAATTTGGTGGATAACCCAAGAGAGTGGTTCATCGATACTGGTGCCACTCGTCATGTGTGTTCCGATAACGAGGTGTTTTCTGAATACACTCCTGCTAAGAGTCAGAAACTTCACATGGCAAACTCCTCCACGATTGAAGTGGCTGGAGTGGGCACTGTGGTGCTGAAGCTGACTTCTGGAAAGGAGTTGAAGCTTAAGGATGTTCTGCATGTCCCAGACATCCGCAAGAATTTGGTCTCTGGATCTCTTCTTGTTGAGCATGGATTTAGGCTTGTGTTTGACGCTAAGAAGTTTGTTCTTAGTAAGTTTGGAACATTCCTTGGTCGTGGATATATCGACAAGGGCTTGTTCAAAATGAATGTAATGGTTGTGAGCCGTGTAATCGTTTCTAATAAGAATGAAAAGCCTATTTCTGTTTATACAGTTGAGTGCTGTGATTTATGGCATGTTAGATTGGGACATGTAAATCTAAATGCGATTAAACGGTTGATGAATTTAGAATTAATTCCTAATTCTAAAATTGAATCATATAAGAAATGTGAAACATGTGTTGAAGCAAAAATGGCTAAGTTGCCTTTTCACTCGGTGGAAAGGAGTACTGAACCATTAGGCTTGATCCATATTGATGTATGTGATATGAAAAGTGGGCAAACAAGAACCGGTAAAAAGTATTTTGTAACTTTTATCGATGATTGCACAAGGTTTTGCTACTTATATTTCTTAAGAAGCAAAGACGAGGCTGTGGAAACTTTTAAAATCTATAAGACCGAAGTTGAAAATCAACTTGGCAAGAGGATTAAAATAATCCGAAGTGATAGGGGTGGGGAGTATGTAGCTCCTTTTGAACAAATATGTTCTGAATATGGCATAATTCATCAAACGACAGGCACTTATTCTCCATAGTCGAACGGAGTTGCTGAACGCAAGAACCGTACGTTAAAAGAAATGATGAATGCCATGTTGATAAATTCAGGATTACCCCAGAACATGTGGGGGGAAGCTGTTTTGACAGCAAAGCATATCCTGAATAAAATACCACCTAAAGGGAAAGATGAGACTACCTGAAAGTGTGGGGGTGTTTGGCTAAGGTTTCAGTACCTGAACCAAAATAAATGCGAATCGGGCCAAAGACGGTCGATTGTGTATTTATTGGATATGCGTACAATAGTATGGCATATAGATTTCTGGTCCATAAATCAGAAAATCCAGAGGTATCTGTTGGTACCACGATTGAGTCAAGGAATGCTATATTCTTTGAGAATGTTTTTCCTATGAAGGAAAGAGCAAAATCTAGTTCTAATAAACGAACGTATAAAACTGCTAGTGGTTCTGTACCAGAGGGTACTGCTGAAGAACCGAGACGTAGTAAAAGGGTAAAAACGGTGAAATCGTTTGGACTGATTTTATTACGTACATGTTGGACGATGAACCGACTTCTATTAAGGAAGCTCTGTCCAGCCCAGATAAACCTGTTGATAAACGGATTTAATCAACGTAATTAATGTAAAAATAACAATAAAGATTGCAGAAAATAAGATTTTGATTGAAAATCTTGAAGTCGGTTATAGAATTGGGAAGTCGGTTTTTTAATGTTCACTAAGTCGGTAAACAAGGAAAAACCGAGATAAATATATGTGTTTTTATCACTTTTTGTCGAATCCGAATATCGTGTTGGATGTTGCTATTTATAGTTATGCTTGGCACACATCCCTAGACAAATCGGCTTTGTTTTAATGGAGATTTGACAGTTTAGGGGCGGCCATGACGTAGGCAAACTTTTTAGGCAATGATGAGCATGGGCACTCCTCTATCTGTGTGACAAGCGTCACTTCTGTCGGATTGAAGTCGGTACAGCATTATGACGTCGGTATTTGGGTAGAATTTCAATCTTCTACGACTTCCCGACAAGCTGTTCTTCAACCGAGGTGGCCTTTTCGAGGTTTCAATGGTTTACTCTGACAATCTTTAGGGTCTGCTGTTTTACTCGGAACGTCGTATGAGAACCGAGGTGATATTTCCGAGGTGCCATATATCCTGTGTTGTATTATTAGAGGTCCGGTCTGGTTGAAGGGACGCTTGTGATATCTTTAATCTAACCTTTATTTCAAGATACTCTATCTTGATATCAACATAGAGGCCCCTGGCATTAAGAAGTATGCGAATTATGCATGCTTTTTGATGACATCTCTTATCCAATTGCTCTTTTATTCCCGAGTTGATCTAAGGATCTTCCACGTCAGTTCAAACCGAGGTACTTTCCTTAGATAAGAATCATATCTTTTAGTTCCTTCACCAAAGTTATTTCATACTATAGAATAATTATTGAGTAGTTTTCGAGAGGTCGCGAACGTGTCTTCTCCACTACTCTTCTCAACGGGCGCGTACCGTAATT